TGGAGGCTCTACGTAAGTACCTGTAATAAATAATAAATACATTTCTGAAAATGAGGACACTGTAAATAAGCCTTTCTTAATTTTTTAATTCGAAAAAAAAACAATAAAAATTATTTTCAGGTCTTTAGGAACTTCTGCAAAAATATTTTAACCTACAGCTCATGGTACATTAGCATGAAGAAAGTTTTAATAAAAGAATAAGGAATGCGGTCTATATAGTGTATTAAAGTGACAATATAGGGTATCTCTGGTCAAAAATGTAAATACTCATTTCCACATTGTATTTCAATTATTTCTACTCTACTCCTATAAATATGAATGATCTTGAAATGTGTACATTTTTGACAATCCCTGCACATTTACCTCATTTGGTTCTATGACACATTCATTATGTCCTGTGAGTAGGCACTGCTGTGTCACACATTTCACAAAACCTGCCTTCTGAATTAAAGAGATGCTGAAAGGTGGAGTTTCAGGAGGTGGAGTCAGTACAATAAATGCTTGCAGGCAGCAAGGTACCATGGGATATGTAGTTCTTAGAAACTGAAAGAAAACACCAAAGGAGGATTTCAAATAAGCTAATATTTAAAAATCAAATTTAACTATTGTTTGTATTGTCATTACAATGCTGATGTTATACAATGAAAGTGTATGCTTTGACCATAGAACTAGTACAAGTGAGCCCAGACCAGACCCCAGGAAGGTATGTCAAGGAGAGAGGAGGAGGGGAGCTGCTGTGTAAGTTATATGTTGGTTGGCTAGTGAAGAGAGGGAGCGGAGCTGCTGGGATGACAAAAGACAAAGAGCAGCAGGCCTGGGGGGATGGGGGTGGGGGGTGAATGGGGCCCAGGCCAGGCTCAAGGAGGAAGGATTTGGAGGATTCATCTTGCCAAACTGAATAGCCTGCACTGCAGCAGTGCCTGCCCCTCATCAGACAGGCTGCTGGTCACAGGGCAGGTATTGCTCTATTCCTCTGGAACCACTGAGCCAGGAAAAGGGGGAGGCCTGGGAGGGCATGCCTAATCTTGGCACTGTAAGAAAACACTTCTGCTCTGGGCACTCCTGATCTGCACTGTATACTGCTCACTGCCCCTCTCCCGCACTGTAAACTGTTCACTGCCCCCCCCCCCCCACTGTATGCTGATCACTGACTCTCCCAACCCACTGTGAGCATTGAACTGGGGGCACACTGACCACCATTGTACATGGGGCACACACCTACCACCATTGTACAGGGGGCACACTGACCAAGTATTGTTGTACTCAGTCCTGACCCCACATATTATATGCTATACAGTGCTGACCTCTTCACTCTATATGCTCTGCTGTATGTTTCACAATGAAGGGGGCACACTGACTGCTATAATCCTGGAGGTTAATTATTATACAATGTTGGGGGTTAATTATTGTGTAATTCTGTTTTTTTTAATAGTGCACATTCCTGGGGGTTTATTTTTGTGCTGCGCTGTGGTTCATTAATATGTCATGCTGGGATTTAATTGTTGTACCATGCTAAGGGGCTAATTATTGTGCAATATTGGAAGTTTATTATTGTGCCATGCACGTGGTTCATTATTGTGCAATGTTTGCGTTTCTTTATTGTGCCATACTGGGATTTAATTGTTGTGCCATGCTAAGGGGTAATTATTGTGCAATATTAGAGGTTTTATTGTTTCATGCTTGTAGTTCATTATTGTGCCATGCTTGCAGTTCATTATTGTGCCATGCTTGCAGTTCATTTTTGTGTCATGTTTGAAGTTCATTATTGCGCTGTGCTGGGGGTTTATTTTTGTTTTGTGCCAGGTGTTAGTTAATGAATGTGAAGAAACACTCCCTTTTCAGTCACATCTACCTTTGGCCACCCCCACTAGAAAGTGGCATGTGCAGCACTCCGCTTTAGCTCCCCCACTTTTTCTCCCAGCTCCACATGCACCCCCCAAAAAAAAATTTGTCTGGAGCTCCCTCTGTCCATATATTCAACAGAGGTGCAATATGCTAAGCTATATGAACTACTGTTTACCTGGGTTCTATCTAAGGCAGGGGTCTCCAATCTTTCTAAAAAAAGACTTTAGGAAAGGGGGGGGGGGCAGACTGTGGTTAGTGGGAATAGAAATGCCCTGACTTCAGTGGGAGAAAACAATGCCTCAGGCTTGGTGGTCAATGGGAGTAAACAATTCCTTAGGCTTGGTGCTCAGTGGGAGTAAAAAAAATACAAAGCACCTGTGGACAGCAAGAGTAGTGCCCTGTCATTTGTGTTAGTGGGAGGAATAGTGCCCCATCATTGGTATTTGTAGGTAGGACAGTGCCTCATTGTTGGTGTCAGTGGAAGGAATGATGCCTCATTAATTGCATCAATGGAAGGAATAGGACCTGGTATCAGTTTGAGGAACAGTGCCCCAAAGGCCTGATAAAGGCATTCCGCGTACCAGAAGCTGCGTCATGGCGTACCTACGTGTTGTATCACTAGACCACGTGACTTCATCAGGGTATCAGAGACCTGCATGACACCAGCGATCTGCTGATTGATGATGCAATGGTTTACAGGCTCCTACAACAAAAAATATAAATTAACATATTTTTACCTGCAAAAAAAGTGCATTTGTTATTTTCTGTATAAACATGAACTATCCTTTAACCGTTTCCCGCCCGCCATATAAGAAAATGACGGGCGGGCGGCGGCTCTCTAACTAACTCTACCTGTGCATGGCGAGTGACGCGGCGATCGGTGGTGCTCTCTGACCCTGGGACACAGTGGATCACTGATCACAGTAAGGAGCTGATGACACAGGCTCTGTCATGTGATCAGCTGTGTCCAATCACAGCTGATCACATGTAAACAAGGAAATGCAGGTTATTGGCAGTCCTCTCCTCACACTGTTAGCGCATGAGGAGAGGAGAGCCAGTAAACAGCATTTCTCAGAGGGGACATCTACACTGATCATTAGGACACTGATGATCAGTGCCCTGATGATCAGTGTAGCCCCATCAGTGCCACCTGTCAGTGCCCATCAGTGCACATCAGAACTGCCTTTCAGTGCCAACTATCAGTGCCAGTCAGTGCCACCTATCAGTGCCCGTCAGTGCTCCCTAACAGTTCCAAACAGTGTCGCCTATCAGTGCTGCCTATCAATGTTGCCTATCAGTGCTATATGAGTGCTGCCTTTCAGTGCCTGTCAATGCCCAACAGTGATGCCTGTCAATGCCCATCAGTGCAGCCTCATTACAAAATTTTAGAGCAGAAACTAAGAAAAAACTTTTTCCTTTTCCAAAATTTTCAGTCTTTTTTAGTTTGTTTAAAGATAAAAAACCCAGTGGTGAATAAATACCACCAAAAGAAAGCTTTATATGTCTCAAAAAAGATACAAATTTTGTTTGGGTACAGTGTTGCATGACCGCGCAATTGTCATTCAAAGTGCAACAGCGCTGAAAGCTGAAAATTGGCATGCGCAGGAAGAGGGTAAAAGTGCCCGGCAGGCAAGTGGTTAAAGTGGAACTAAGCCCTCCTATCCTTTTTAGCCAAGGAAGCGATCTTATCCTCTGTTTAATCTGCAACTGCCATAATGCTAATATGTGATCAGTTATGATACCACCCATTTGTTGGTTGCACAGTTTGGTTGGGAGCAAATGTGACAGTTACCATTTCTGTCATTTTTTTTAAACCATTAAATCGATGGATTTAATTCCACTTTGAGTAAACGATAACTGTACTTTTCATTAAAAAAGGTAGTTGTTCTTCCCCAATTGAGGGATGTACTGTATGTTCTGCCTGGTGTCCCATGAAATGGTCCAGTCCAGCCAAACAGCATCCTAACCTAAGATCATTATTCTCTATAGCTGGGCCCAGAGAATGCATGTCTTTTTTAAAAGTATGTTGCAGTACAAGAGAAGAAAAAGGCACTATTTAGCCCTGGACAGGCCAGGCATACTGTATATGTGCATCTTTGGTCTGGGCTATGATTGGAAAATTTGATGAAAGCAGAGAGGAAAAATGCACTCACCAGTCAATGTATTAGGTACACCTTGCTAGTACCGGGTTGGACCCCCTTTTGCCTTCAGAACTGCCAGGAATGTTGAAAACATTCCTCAGAGATTTGGACCATATTGACATGATTGCATCACACATTTGCTGCTGATTTGTTGGCTGCACATCCATGATGTGAATCTCCACAACCCAACACCATTATACCACCACCAGCCTGAACCGTTGTTACAAGGCAGGATGGATCCATGCTTTCATGTTGTTTATGCCAAATTCTGATCCTACCATATGAATGTCGCAGCTGAAATCGAGACTCATCAGACCAGGCAATGTTTATTCAATCTTCTATTCTCCAATTTTGGTGAGCCTGTGCAAATTGTAGCCTCTGTTTCCTGTTCTTAGCTAACAGGAGGAGTGGAACCCGGTATGGTCAGCTGCTGCTGTAGCCCATCTGCTTCAAGGTTCAACATACTGTGCATTCAGAGATGGTATTCTGCTTACCTTGGTTGTAACAAGTGGTTATTTGAGTTACTGTTGCCTTTCTATCATCTCAAATCAGTTTGCCCATTCTCCTCTGACCTCTGACATCAACAAGGCATTTTTATCCACACAACTGCCGCTCACTGGATATCTTCTCTTTTTCAGACCATTCTCTGTGAACCCTAGAGATGGTTGTGCATGAAAATCCCAGTAGATCAGCAGTTTTTTAAATACTTAGACCAGCCCGTCTGGCACCAACAACCATGCCATGTTCAAAGTCACTTAAATTCCTTTTCTTCCTCATTCTGATGCTCAGTTTGAACTTCAGCAAGTTGTCTTCACCACGTCTAGATGCCTAAATGCACTGAGTTTCTGCCATGTGATTGGCTGATTAGTAATTTGTGTTACCAAGCAATTGAACAGGTGTACCAAATAAAGTGGCCATTGAGTGTATGTATGGTTAAACAAAATGAATGAATGCTGTGAAGTTTTAAGAGAATGGCAAGAATTAAATAACAAACATACCTGATTTTGTGACGCCTTTAACCACTTGCCTTCCAGGCCGCTGTATATAAACGACTGGACGGTGGCAGTCCAGGGGAGGGTTGCCATTCATAAACGGCTCCCGCCATTTTGGACTGTGCGTGCTCCCTGGGAACATGCAGCACCGCGATCCGGTGCCCATTGTGTCATACGGACCTCTGTGCAAGGTCCCGATCATGTGATCACTGATTGGCCAATCAGTGATCACATGCAGAGTAGTAAGTAAGATGTCACTTCCTGACATCATTGCTTACTACGTGTGAAATCTGTGAATGATCACAGAGGTCACATGGTACAAGGCTATTCACAACAGCCTTGTACCATGTGACAAGCTGTGACCAATCACAGCTCACACAGCATTTCTCAATGGCTGCAAGAATGCAACCAGAGAGAAGGAGAAAGAAGTGTAAAAGCAATCAGTGTAAAAAAAAAAAAATCTTCATCACCCCCCACAAGTAGTACACTGTCACCATGGTGACACTGTACTGCTAGGGTGACAGTATGTTTAAAATAAATAAAATAAAAAACATTTTAAAAAATGATTGACGGCTGGGCGAGTGTCCCGCCCGGCTGTCAATCTGTTATAGGCCGGGCGGGAAGGTGTTAAGTATTCTTAGCAAACTTGCGTTCAGGAGTAGATTTTATCAGCATTTCAAACGCCAAACGCTTGTAAATGCGTGTAAATGTGGCTAACCACGTTTATAAGTGTTTAACTGTTCCATATCCAAATGCTGTCCAGAGCCTTTTTTAATCATCAGAAATGCATGCAAAGCGTTTTCCATGTATTCAAATGGACCTAGCACAGCAGCGCAGTCAGTTCCAGGATTTGCATAGAATGGTAGAAAGTGCCGCATTATGCTCATGATGGGATCCACAGTGAATACAACCAGAATAGACAGGTAATCTCAACACATTTATTTATTTCAGGTACTTATATAGCGCTGTCAATTTACACAGTGCTTTATATATATATATATCATACATTCACATCAGTCCCTAACCCTCAAGGGGCATACAATCTAAGATCCCTAACTCACATTCATGCATACACATACTGGGGCCAATTTAGACAGAATCCAATTAACCTACCAGCATGTCTTTGGAGTGTGGGAGAAAACCCACACAGGCACAGGGAGAACATGCAAACTCTAGGCAGGTGGTGCTGTGGCTGGGATTTGAACCAAGAACCCAAGTGCTGCCAGCCAGAAGTTCTAACCATTTAGCCACTGTACTCCCAACTCATACTTCTCTCTCTGTTTCTGCTCTCTCTATTCCTCTCAAAATGTCTGAAATAGTTAATTTTTTTATTATTTTTCAGTGCATTCTGGGCATTTTGAAGGTCTCCTGATGTTATCTTTAAAAAAACTCCTCTAAACGCAAACACTCATAAATGCGCATTAATGCGTATAAACTCGGTATGCAAACGCTGCTAAACAGACGTTTTTTAACCTATGTTTTCCAGCATCGATCAGAAGTGTTTTTCCAAACATCCGTGTACATGGAGCCTTAATGTGATGGAATGATTTTTGAAAAAAAAAAAATGGTTTTAGCTGTAGCTAATAAAATGCAATAACAGAATTGGCCACAAGATGGCACTTTTGTACTTTGCAGCAGTAAGTAAAGCGTGATAGGTGAGTGTCCAGGGAATTTTTTAGCTTGTCAATTTTCTGGTAAGTAAACAATTTAAGTATAAAATTAGAATTTTCTGTTTGTGTAATGCATTCAGATTACCATGTGACAAGCAGTGGAAGGAGCACAGAGCATTATTTTCTTGGGGAACAGTTAGTATGTTTATGCATGTTTCTATAACAGCAAGCTGTAACATGTGTCCACTTAAAACTAAAATTTAAAGTGAAACTTTACAAAAAAAAAATCCTCTCCATATCATTTGTATACACTGTACAGATGTTGTTATACTAAAAGCAAACTGATACACTGAGTGGTAAAAACTCACAGTTGCATCCACTGGCTTGTTACACGTTGCGTGACATTAAACGATATCCTTATTCTACAAAAAGAATTCATACACATCCACCACTTAGGCCTGCCATACATGGGTCAATTTCCGAATAATTTTTAGTTCGAAAATCAAACCTAAGAATAATTGGCCGATTTTCGCTCTGTTAGGGGGGCAATGGCACCGGCCGATTTTTGTGGTTCCTCCACCATTTCGTTTTATCGGGCATGCTGGAAAATTCGTGAAAAAATACCGATTTTCGAAATCATTGGTGGCACCATCGGATTACAAAATGAACAATGTTTTCGTTTTGTGATCGTTCGGAATTCGACCCATGTATGGCCTGCTTTAATATCCATCACTGCTAGAAAAGCACAGGATCTGGTGGAGGAATTCTGTCCTCCTCTCTGCTGCTAACTGCTTAGACAAGGGGGGGGTGTCACTGCTTTAAGAGAGGTGTGAGGACCACATTAGATGCCCTGGTGGGTCAGATTCGGCCCTCGGGCCTTGTGTTTGACAGATCTAACAGGGAAGTTATAACACAGCAGTAAGCAAAAGACATTTTAAGATTTGGAGGAGGCTGAGAGCAACATATGGACTTTTTTTAGTTAAGACATTACAATATACTCGAATAGAATTTTCTTTTTTTAAACCAAAGTTTAGTGTCTTTAAGTGGGATGGTCGGCCATCTATAAATCAGGTACAGTCATTCAATCAGAGAAAACTACGTGGAAAAGCAACAAACACACAAAATCCCCAAGTAGCTTCAGAAAGGTCATTTCAATTAGAATAAATGACTAAATAACAGTAACATTTGAATATATTATACAGTATATCAGTTGTGCAATTGAACCTCCATTTTAAATGAACTAAAACCCCTGAATTCTGTGGGAAAGCAGTGATCCATCAAGCCGGGCCAAGATGAGGGGGTGCAAAAGGGGCTGTTGCCCCGGGCACAATGTTTTCATGCAAGAGGGGGTGCAACATGGTGAACTGTGCCCTTCTCATCACATAATGTACTTTACCAGCAGCACCAGCAAAGGGTGAACCTGGGACCATTGCTCTTCACCCCTAAGCCTACTGTTCTGGCTCCTCACAGAGCTCAATGCCAGCAAAGCCCCCAATCTTCCCTGCAGTTAAAGTGTTACTAAAGTCCATTTTGTTTTGTTTTTTTCCATTTAAATAACAAACATGTTATATTCACCTGCTCTGTGCAGTGGTATTGCACAAAGTGGTCCTGATCAGGGGCGGACTGACAACTCATGGGGCCCCCGGGCAATAGAGGATCATGGGGCCCCTGTGTCCTTGCCTAAACTCAAAAAAGCTTATGAAAAAGGTACCAGGGACATCTCATAGGGCCCCCTACTGACCCCGGGCCCTCAGGCAGTGCCCGCGTTTCCAAATGGTCAGTCCGCCCCTGGTCCTAATCCTCCTCTTTTTGGTTTCCCTGCCCATTATCTTGGCTCCTCCACTTCTTTGTGTGTCCCCACAGCAAGCCGTTTACTATTTAGGCACACAGTGTCTGCTGCTCACTCCCAAGCTGTATGTCTATGAAGCTGTGCTCCATAGACATACATAGTGGGATTTAGCTCCACCCCCACTTCCTCCTCACTGGATTTGGCTCCTGCTGCTACTCAAGTCCTGTGTGAAGAAGAAGAGAGGGGAGAAGAGATGCAGCCATGCACAGCGCTGGATCTATTCTCCCCACTCTTACCTTCCACACAGGGAATGTTGTGAGGGGGAGGGGGGCTGTCAGAGGAAAGGAATGCATTAGGGTTAAAAAACGTTTTTTAGCTTTAGTATTACTATAACCACTTCCCATCCGGCCCATGTACATAAACAGCCAGACGGGAGCAGTGCAGGAGCGGGTGGCCGTTTATAAACGGCATCCGCATTCACTGCCTGTGCGCACACCCTGGGAGTGCAACACTGACCGCTGTGCGGGACCTCTGTGTGGAATCTGTGAATGATCACAGAGGTCACATGGTACAAGGCTATTCACAGCAGCCTTGTACCATGTGACAAACTGTGACCAATCACAGCTCTCACAGTATTTCTCAATGGCTACAAGAAAGCAGTCAGAGAGAAGGAGAAATTATTGCTTTTATGGCCTTTATGGGCGTAAAAGCAATCAGTGTAAAAAAAAAAAAAAAATCTTCATCACCCCCCACAAGTCACCATAGTGACACTGTACTGCTAGGGTGATGGTATGTTTAAAATAAATAAAATATAATAAAAAAAAATTAAAAAAAAAAGTAAAAAAAGTTTTGAAAATTTATAATTTTTGGATATAATCTAATTTGGGTTTTTGTTTTTTTTTTTTTACTAAAAAGATAGATGAATACATTTTGGCCATAATTTATGAAGAAAGATTATTTATTTGCAAAATTTTATAAGAAAAACACTTTTTTTTCAAAATGTTTGGACTTTTTCATTTATATAGCAAAAAAAATAAATATCCCAGTGGTGAATAAACACCACCAAAATAAAGTTTTATCTGTCTCAAAAAAATGCTAAAAAAAATGGATATGGGTACAGTGTTGCATGACCGTGCAATTGTCATTCAAAGTGTGACAGCAATGAAAGCTGAAAATTGGCCTGGGCAGGGAGGGGGTGAAAGTGTCCGGACATGAAGTGGTTAATATGTACCACTGGTCAGCCTGGACCAGCGACAGAGCCTACCCCTCCTGCAGTATGCTGCCTGCTGTTGTGAAATCACTCCCTGCTCTGCAGTGTTGATGTGTTGGATAGAATTTGTTGATTGATGCAAGCTACATGATGGAGATCTGCTGACAGCTCATTAATGGTATCAGCCAGGGGCGGACTGACCATTTGAAAACTCGGGCACTGTCCGAGGGCCTGGGTCAGTAGGGGGCCCCATGAGATGCCTCTGGTACCTTTTTCATAGGCTTTTTTGAGTTTGGGCAAGGACACAGGAGCCCCATGATCCCCTATTGCCCGGGGGCCCCATGAGTTGTCAGTCTGCCCCTGGTGTCAGCACACCTTTAGTACAGGCAGTTTGCAGCCCACCTATTCCACACCTCTGCCACTGTCAGGAGCCAGGTGTACACAGTATGCTTCTGCTGCCTGTACCTGCATAATGTTTTCTCTAGTGTTTTAGCATCTACTCCCTCCCATATCACTTCAGGTGTTCACCTCCAATTACAACACCTCCCACCCACCTTCCTCCCTGGTCACTGTTCCTTCCTGCCACCTACTTTCCCTCCTAGGTCAGAGCATCTCCAAACCAAAACATCCCCTTCTCATACCACCTTCACTCTACCCACCCACATCTTCTCTCCAGCACTGCACCTTTCACCCCCATGATCAGAGAATTTGTCTCCTGGCCATCTCTCCCCCTATTTCATTACACTGCCGCTGTGCGATGCATCATGCCCCCCCCCCCCCAAGTCACAAAACCTACATTCTACCTCTATCCCCCTTTTCCCTTCTTACCATGTGTAGCATCCTCCTAGAGTAGTGTAGGAGGTTATTAGGTACATATAGTTGGCTCCTCTGTACTCAGTGGAGCAGGGGTTGATTATTCAGGCCTGCTCAGTGTCTCACAGCTTGCTGCTCCCATTGCTTCCCCCTGTATTCTAAAGGATTATAGAATTATAGTAGGAGGAAGAAGTAAGCAGCCCGAATATTTATGGGACTCCAGCCAATCCCTGGGCAGGTGTGCCCAGTAGGCGGTTGGAGAGACTAAATAGTCTGAGGCCTGGGACAGGAAAGAGAGTTCCTAGGTACAGTCCTGGTGGAGGAGACCCCTGTGTAGGGGCTCTGTCCCTGGGTCAGGAATACTGGAGGTGCCCCTAAGAAGACATGGAGGTCCCAGCTAAAAGCCTTAGCTTGGGGCCTTAATTGCAAGTTCAGTCCTGGAATTGGTTTGAGTCTGGAGAAGCTTACTGGAGAGTGCCAGGAAGAGTGGTGGGGAAAGTGTCAAGCTGTCCTACGGTGGAGTGAGTTTGTCAGGGCTCCCAGGTGTGACCAGAGGTGTGTGGCTGACGCAGGGAAACGCAGACCTCAGATATGTTATAAACAATATAATTTATTAACACTAACAATACAAACATAAACGCAGTGCAATACTAAAACATAATACAGTGCAACCAAACCAAACCAACCACCCACAGATAACAGTACATACAAGCAAGCGTCGTCAGGCAGGCCGGGTCAATATCAATAGGGCAGGTAGGTACAGGGGGAGCAAGCGGAGATTGGTCGGGGTCACAGGCCAGGTTCAGCAGGTAGCAAGCAGCGTAGTACAGAGGGTCAGGCAGAGGGATGGTCAGGGTCACAAGCCAGGGATCAGAACAGGTAGCAAGCAGCGTAGTACAGAGGGTCAGGCAGAGGGTTGGTCAGACAAGCCAGGGATCAGAGCAGGGTCAGCAGAGAATCAGACAGGAACAGAGAACATGATACAGGGCCCAAGAGAAACACAACACCAAGGCCGAGTCTGTGGGTCTGGCCATCCCTTAAATACCCCAGCATAATCAGTTCCAGGTGTTAGCTGGCTGCAAAGTTGAGTCTCTGATTGCTGGGAGCATCCGCTGGCCAGCCCTGGTACTGCAGATCAAAAGGCAGGTGAGTCCCACCATTGCTGGCCAGTCCATTCCTGACAGTACCCCCCCCTCAAGGAGCGGCCTCAGGACGCTCCAAACAGTCCTAGCTGGGAAAAATGTTCCACCGCCCGGGTCTGGTAACTGGCGGGATATCAAAGACTGGCACACCGGGCAGGACTCTGGGTAGTGGTACACCGGGCAGAGGCACACCGGGCTGGACTCTGGGCAGAGGCACACCGGGCTGGACTCTGGGCAGAGGCACACCGGGCTGGACTCTGGGCAGAGGCACACCGGGCTGGACTCTGGGCAGAGGCACACCGGGCTGGACTCTGGGCAGAGGCACACCGGGCTGGACTCTGGGCAGAGGCACACCGGGCTGGACTCTGGGCAGAGGCACACCGGGCAAGACTCTGGGCAGAGGCACACCGGGCAAGACTCTGGGCAGAGGCACACCGGGCTGGACTCCGGGCAGAGGCACACCGGGCAAGACTCCGGGCAGAGGCACATCGGGCAAGACTCCGGGCAGAGGCACATCGGGCAAGACTCCGGGCAGAGGCACATCGGGCAAGACTCCGGGCAGAGGCACATCGGGCAAGACTCCGGGCAGAGGCACATCGGGCAAGACTCCGGGCAGAGGCACATCGGGCAAGACTCCGGGCAGAGGCACATCGGGCAAGACTCCGGGCAGAGGCACATCGGGCAAGACTCCGGGCAGAGGCACATCGGGCAAGACTCCGGGCAGAGGCACATCGGGCAAGACTCCGGGCAGAGGCACATCGGGCAAGACTCCGGGCAGAGGCACATCGGGCTACCAGGAGAAGCGGCAGGCAGCGGGCCACCGGGCGGAACGGCAGGCACCGGGCCCCCGGGCGGGGCGACAGGCCTCGGGCCCCCGGGCGGGGCGACAGGCCTCGGGCCCCCGGGCGGGGCGACAGGCCTCGGGCCCCCGGGCGGGGCGACAGGCCTCGGGCCCCCGGGCGGGGCGACAGGCCTCGGGCCCCCGGGCGGGGCGACAGGCCTCGGGCCCCCAGGCGGGGCGACAGGCCTCGGGCCCCCAGGCGGGGCGACAGGCCTCGGGCCCCCAGGCGGGGCGACAGGCGCCGGGCCCCCAGGCGGGGCGACAGGTCTCGGGCCCCCAGACGAAGCGGCGGGCACCGAGTCAACTGGCGGAACAGCGGGCACAGAGTCGTCTGGCAAGACTGCGGGCACCGAGTCGTCTGGCAAGACTGCGGGCACCGAGTCGTCTGGCAAGACTGCGGGCACCGAGTCGTCTGGCAAGACTGCGGGCACCGAGTCGTCTGGCAAGACTGCGGGCACCGAGTCGACTGGCAAGACTGCGGGCACCGAGTCGACTGGCAAGACTGCGGGCTCCGAGTCGACTGGCACGACAGTGGGCTCCGAGTCAACAGGCACGACAGTGGGCACCGGGTCATCAGGTATCGGATTGTCTGGCTCGACAGCGGGCATCGGGTCACCAGGTATGACAGCGGGCACTGGGTCACCAGGCATCAGGTCATTTGGCTTGCCAGCGGGCACCGCGTCATCTGGCAAGGCAGTGGGCACCGGGTCACCAGGTATGACAGCGGGCTCTGAGTCAATTGGCACAACAGCGGGCACTGGGTCAGGTACCGGATCATCTGGATCAACAGCGGGCATCGAGTCAACTGGCCTAATAGGATCGTCGGGCTGGATCAGTTCATCAGGCTGAGGAGAGGCTTCAGGCTGAGGAGAGGCTTCAGGCTGAGGAGAGGCTTCAGGCTGAGGAGAGGCTTCAGGCTGAGGAGAGGCTTCAGGCTGAGGAGAGGCTTCAGGCTGAGGAGAGGCTTCAGGCTGAGGAGAGGCTTCAGGCTGAGGAGAGGCTTCAGGCTGAGGAGAGGCTTCAGGCTGAGGAGAGGCTTCAGGCTGAGGAGAGGCTTCAGGCTGAGGAGAGGCTTCAGGCTGAGGAGAGGCTTCAGGCTGAGGAGAGGCTTCAGGCTGAGGAGAGGCTTCAGGCTGAGGAGAGGCTTCCGGCTGAGGAGAGGCTTCCGGCTGAGGAGAGGCTTCCGGCTGAGGAGAGGCTTCCGGCTGAGGAGAGGCTTCCGGCTGAAGAGAGGCATCCGGCTGAAGAGAGGCATCCGGCTGAAGAGAGGCTTCAGGCTGAAGAGAGGCTTCAGGCTGAGTCACGGAAGGCAGGTTCACCGGTTTGGATACTGGCAGGATGGTATTGGTTGGAAAGAATTTTCGCTTTTTTCTGGTTTTAACTACTGGAGCACTGCAAGTAAACGCAGGTCTGCAAACGAATGGAGCAGCTGGAGACAGAGAAAAACTGGAGGATGGAACAGGAGAGGGAGCAGTTGCTACAGAGGGCTTTATTACAGGGTTAAAGGCAGGATAGGTGCAGCGAGTGGGAACAGGGTACTGACATGCGGTAGATAGCCAAGTATACTGGGCTGTAACTGGAGGAGCTGGTGGGAATACAGGGAGTAGAGTTAGAAGCAGGACTGGGTTTTTGTAAGCTGACTGAGGCTGGGTGCAACAAGTCTGTCCATGTCTGCAGTAGGGGTTGAACAAAGCTGAGCTTACACAAAGCCTGTCTGGTCAAAGACTGCACTGCGTTTATACAATCTTAGTGTCTGTGGTGAACATGTGGAATAACGCTCCAGAAAGTAACCCACATCATCCTCTAATAACCACACCAGGGACTCTACCTGGTCTGCACTAAATGGTGGCAAAAATTCATCCCTGCATTCGGGGGAACCAGATGAAACCAACTCAGCACAAACCTCAATCAATGGCTGCACCTCAGAGAACTCTGTGCCCTGATCTACTAGAACATGAGCGAGCCGTATACATTCTAGTAGTTGATCCCTGGGATACTCCTTCAGAGTTTGATAAGCATACTCCCTGTCATCAAACACTAGCAGATATAAATACACAACCTCATTCAGATCCATCCTTCCCAGCAACAAGCCAAGATGGCTCCTTCCCTGTGCAGCCACTTCTGGTCAGGATTGGCCTTGGTGTAATGTCAGGGCTCCCAGGTGTGACCAGAGGTATGTGGCTGACGCAGGGAAACGCAGACCTCAGATATGTTATAAACAATATAATTTATTAACACTAACAATACAAACATAAACGCAGTGCAATACTAAAACATAATACAGTGCAACCAAACCAAACCAAACCAAACCAACCACCCACAGATAACAGTACATACAAGCAAGCGTCGTCAGGCAGGCCGGGTCAATATCAATAGGGCAGGTAGGTACAGGGGGAGCAAGCGGAGATTGGTCGGGGTCACAGGCCAGGTTCAGCAGGTAGCAAGCAGCGTAGTACAGAGGGTCAGGCAGAGGGATGGTCAGGGTCACAAGCCAGGGATCAGAACAGGTAGCAAGCAGCGTAGTACAGAGGATCAGGCAGAGGGATGGTCAGACAAGCCAGGGATCAGAGCAGGGTCAGCAGAGAATCAGACAGGAACAGAGAACAGGATACAGGGCCCAAGAGAAACACAACACCAAGGCCGAGTCTGTGGGTCTGGCCATCCCTTAAATACCCCAGCATAATCAGTTCCAGGTGTTAGCTGGCTGCAAAGTTGAGTCTCTGATTGCTGGGAGCATCCGCTGGCCAGCCCTGGTACTGCAGATCAAAAGGCAGGTGAGTCCCACCATTGCTGGCCAGTCCATTCCTGACAGAGTTTGTCTCCCTAACTGGAGAGTGCCTGGTGAATATTGGAAGGAGGCAACTGATGATCCAGTGGCTGCGTGAGTAAATTACCCAAGTGCTGGAAAGGTAGCGACTTTGTGTAACTGTTGGTCTTATGAAATCAGTCATAGTCACCGTCAGCATTAGAGATTCTGTGGGACATTTTTGTACAGCTCAGAAAGATAGGGAGGAGTCCTCAAAGTGTTCAGTTCACTAGTTTTGGGGTACCCTATTCACCCTTCACCCCATCCAAGTTAACTGTTACAATAAAACCCAAAAAAGACACCCCTAGACCTTTCATTTGAGCCATCAAAAGAGTTGAGAAAATGCTATGTGCCTGGCTGTGTGTGCATTAATATGGGGGAAGCACCAGTTTCACCAGTGGCTCCTTAGGGGGTGAGCTACACACCATTCTCTCCTTCCAACCTAAGTTCCCATGGGGAAGGGGGCCATGATCAGCGTCTTCACCCTGGGCACTCTATTACCTTGTTCTGGAATTGCTAACATGCTTCCTGTTTAGTCACAGCTACAGCTCTCCAATTAGCAGGGAGTAGGAACATTGCTGACTGTAGAGCTTTGAGTCTAATTCAATAGGAGGCATATCAGACCTCTATAGTCACACCAGTGCTTGTACATAGAGATCAAGGGTCCCATTCTGACATAGACATTTCTACTCAGGCTGCGGCTGCTTTAGAAGGAAGGTGAACTATAAAATTATGAACATCCCATGTTTTAATGCTCCTGGAATGTAATTAGCTGATTCAAAAATAAAGTTCAATTGTGTAAGAGGTGTGGAAAATTGGCAACCCCATAAAATTTAAATCCAAAGCCTAATACCTCATATAACAGTAATCTATCTTTGTCAATAGAAGATACTAGTGATTGCATTTTTATTGTACCATCACAAGAGGGCAGAACTACTTCCTGTGATAATAGGAAGACACAGAAGTAGGAACAAAAAGTCTAACACTTTGTTTCCTACAGGACAGTGATTACAGTGAACATATCCAGTCACATGTAATTAAGGGTTTTCTGTGTTTGTTACAGCCATTCCTAATAAAACACTTCTGGTTTCACCCGACCCATCCTTCGCACAGTTGAATTATTTACCGTATGTGCAACAAAATTGGCGCCCAACGTGGGGCCGGGTGAAAGGAACGCCAAAAGGTCCGGAAGTGAAAAGGAGTGTCTACACTGTCCGTGGTGAAGTTAAAGAAAAACATTAGGAGTATGGATATCGAAAAGTTGCAAGATGAAATCAGTGAACACCTGATTCACATGACAGTCGATGATCTCATGGAGACTTGCCAGTTTATAAAGGCCTCCGAAGCAAGTATGGCAAAAGGAAAAACCCGGCGCCATTACATGCGGATAGTGAATGAGGTGTTAGATGAACTGGTAGAGACTGAAAGTGAAGAAGTGGTGACACAATTTCTGCAGGCAACTAAGAAATTCATTGGTGAGTTAGAGAATAGAGATAACATGGAAGCACCAAGCGATAGTGGCAAAGACCCTCAAGCAGAACAACAGTTAAAGGATTTAAAACAGCAATACTACAGTATACAGGAAAAACTTCAAGAAACGGCCAAGATGATAGAGGGACAGATGAAAGAACTTAGCACTAAAGACAAAGACTCAAAAGAAAGTCCTGCAAATCAAGACCCTAATCTAGTTGCTCAGAGACTTTCCCATACTAACTTGCCAGAAGTTACAATCAGAAAGGACTTTAAAATTGCTGGTCAGATAGGTGAAAAAGAACAGAAAGATAAGCTGTCCTATACTAACTCTCATGCACCAGACTGACATGGGACTGCAAAAGGGGTATCCCGAGTCAGAGCTTGTGGAAGCTGTGGTGAAAGCCATTAGTCCTGGGTCAAGTCTCAGAGGCATGCTAGAGCTGAAGAGTGGACTGACCCTAGTGCCACTCAAGAGAATCCTAAAAAGCCATTATAAAAGAGGAAAATGCTTCCGAACTATACCAACAATTGATCAATATATCACAGAATAGTAAAGAGACTCCCCAGAACTTCCTATTTAGGGCCATTGCATTGAAATACCGTTTGCTGTTCGTTTCACAGGGGAAGGTTCAGATGAACACTTTGGCACTGAATTTATACAAAAGAAATTCTTAAGGTCAGTGGGCACTGGACTGAGAAGTGACCATATCAAGTTCCAACTAAAACAACACTTGGACGATCCTACAGTCTGATGAGTTGCTCATAGAGAAGATGAATGAGGCTACAAACATGGAGATGGAAAGGGAGCAGAAACAAAAGAAATCTGAGCACAGTAACCTGACGAAGGGAAGAGAGTGCCAGGCCAACATCCTCCATTGTTCTCAGGTACCAGACACCCTCCCTTTGCTTCCATCACAAACAAGTAGTCTGGCAATCCAACAGCCTTCAAAGAGTAACTCTGACCTTGAGAAGATAGTAATACAGTTGCAACAAGAAATATTCAATATGAAAAACACGTCTCCAAGGTTCGAGAACTCGACAAGAGCATGGCTTTGGAGGACCTAGAACAACTGTTGGACGAAAGACAGGGACTTGTCAATCTTGTGAAAAGACTGATAAGAGAACTGCATGTGACCATTGCTTTAACTGTGGTCGAGCTGGACATAGGGCGAGACAATGCAGAGCGGCCAAACAAAATCAGTTAAACGGGAGAAGGTTGCTGTTAAGGGACCGACAGTAACCTGTGCCAGAACCAAACCTGCGTCCCAAAGTGCAAATCATGTCAGTAGTAAAGAAACCAGTCCCCAACCTACCATCAGAGCCCTGGCTGGAAAGTTAAACGCAGACTACTGGAGGAAAACGCCAACCTGCCCTGCTCAAAGACTATCCCCGACAGCTGAAAATTGCCAACCAATGTGAATGGCATCACTTTGAAAAAGCACAACAAGCTACTGGGTCTTATTGGAAAGAGATGCCTTGTGAACTGTGAAATAGACAAAACTCCTGTCCAGGCCTTATGGGATACTGGATCTCAGGTTAGCATTATCAATGAGGGCTGGAGACAGCGAGTACTGCCACACACTGTGCTCCGATCGTTTGAAGAACTGCTGGGACCAGGGGTACTCCAAGGGAAAGCAGCCAATGAGACAGAGATTCCGTTCTCAGGTTGGATTGAGGTAACCTTTCAGCTTACATCGAGCAGTAATACTACCAAACAGTTTTAGTACCACTAGTAGTCTCTGAGGATGAGAAAGTGGCTGAGAAGCCAATTATCGGCTATAATATAATTGAAGAAACATTCAAAGAGACAGTTGCTGATGGGAAGAAAGTTATCCCAGGTTTTGTGGACATATTAAGAACAGCTTTGGAACTGCCAACCACCAAAGCAGAAGTCCTTGTAAGCTTACTACAAGCCAACTGTAGGGAAACCAGTGGTGCTATCGTAAAGACTGGTACTAAGAACCAAAGAATCCCTGCAAATACTGTAACATACATCCGGTGTAGTGTTC